ACAGGTGTGGCCCCACAAGAGTCTCGTGCTAGCTTTTCTCCCGACACTGCAGTCCCTTTACCAAGTCTCCTTCCCATGTCTTCCCTCTCCCTCTTTGCATGGCAAGATGACGCTCTTTCACACCTATGTTTTCTACATTGAGCTCACCGAACTTACAGATGACACACTACCCATGGCCACACAGACACACTTGTGCACTAGTTCACCGTCCGCAGTGCGCTCCCACCCCCTTCCCCAGCAAGTATTAGACTCATTGTCTCACTCCCAGTCTTCCGCTGGGACTGACGACAGGGAGTAATCCCCTCGATAAAGAGAGAAGGGACAAGGAATTTCAGTCTCCTAGGGGCTGAGGAGTTGGGGGCAAAGGTGGTGCAAATTGGCTCTCTTCTAGACTCAGGAGCATAAGAATGCCACATATTATTGGGAGCCAATTTTATTCTTTTACAGAGAAATGATGGAAAACTGTGAAGCAGAATATGAATGCTATAGTTGAGTTAGTCTTTGTTAAACTGGGGGTGGGAGCCCACTCATCATTTTGAGTGTGCTCTAAATAATCACTTTCCATGAACTTTGAGACCACAATTTATCCCAAAGGTTTGGATCATTTGGGCTTCATTCCTTCTCATAATTAAAATAACGAACTGCTTTTTCAAACACAAGAGCTCCTTTTATAAACTCGGCTATGTTACTGAAATGGCAGTCAGCAGCAGCAATGTTTTACAACAGGTGCCACCAGAGTCCTCTTCTGGGTTTCAAAGTGCTTATAGCAGGAAACCTGACTATATTTCTCTCTCTGGCACCCAGCTAGCTTAAGAGGCCGAGGCAAAGAATGCATTTTTTTTCCCTTTTTGTCTCCAACACATAGCTCTTCCTCTATTCTGAAGGCTACAATCCAAAAAGGGAACTCCTGAAGCCACAGTTTCTCAACTGGCATAATAAAGACTCAGCGGCTTCATGATCACTATGAGACAAGCAAAATGCCAAAGGCTGGGAGGACCTGGCTGTGAAGAACCACCCCCTCCGACAATCCCCACCCCGTCTCTGCTCTATGTAGAAAAGATCAGCATGTTCGCCAGGAAACTAAGAAGAGTCATAAAATCAATTACCTACCATTTTTACTGAAGAGTTGGTGCTCCTGGCACACAGTGACCCCGAAGATGCTGTGACTCGGGCAGTGAATGTGCAAGCTCGCCTTGCAGCGTGTACTTCCTTTTCTGAGCTGTGTGGTTTGTCCAGCTTTCACACATTGATATGCATAAGGCTGTATTTGCCTGTTATCTCAGCCCTGGGCGCCTTTGTATAACTGGCCAGGTTTATCTTATTACATTTTACAAATGTGAGAACAGCTGTAGGTGAAACTTTGAAGTCTGAAAGACTGACATACAATTTTTTTAATAGTGCCTAGATATTAAATTCTCTGTACATTATTAACTTGTTTTCTGTAAAATCTGTATTTTTAGAAATGCATAGGTCTATGTGTATCTGTCGTTCTCTCTTATCTGCCGTCTGTCTATCTATAAAGGACATGAAAAAATGTTAACCCTGGTTGACTTGGGTGAAGGTATGATTACAAAAATAATTCTTTTTTGTGCTTTTCTGAGATTTTACAAGTTTTCTACCTTGAGTTTATAGCATTTGTGTAAAAACATAACTGTCATCTTAAAAAGAACCGAAAGATCATAATTTCAATCAACAACTTCAAAGTTATTTAAATTCATATTGCTCATATTTAAATGGTGAAAATAGCTATCAGCTTGTCATAAAATGTCATTTATTTCACTAAAAAAATAAGATTGATGTGTTAGTTTGGGGATAATTGCTAGCATCAGATGGCTTGGTGTCTTAACACTGGTGAACTGCATATGCTCAAATTAAGGTCACGGTGTTTGCAAGTCAGACCTCCCAGTCCTCAGGAGTACCTCTCTGAAAACGTTCTGATACACAAAGCCAGGTGCAAAAGTAAGTGCAAGGGCAGAAGATCATCTTTGTTTCCCATTGCAAAGGAAAGGCAATGGGTTCCGTAACCTGGGGTTGCAACTTCCTAGATCTTGTTTTTTTTCTTGCAGTTTTCTGCCGGGGCTGGGTTTGATGTACTACCTCTGGTATATGGGGGCCGGCGCCCTACTCCTTTGAGCCACAGGCACCACCCCAGATCTTGTTTTAAGTATGATAGTGGTTATTTAGTGCAGGACAGCCACATTTCTATACTTGATGCTGAGCTAATACTATTATAATTTTTACCATATGTGTACAAAAGCCCTTTCAATAAAGATGTGCCCTGTTATTTACTCCTTAAAATGAAAATGATTTTCAAAATTAAGACATGATTAAGAAAATAATTAGAAATATAGATAGCGTCCTTGCTGGAGCAGGCAAAAAGCCAGGAAGGGGGCCAGCTCCAGAGGTAGAACCTGATATTGCCCTGAAACATTTGCATATTGCAAAGAAGGGTTTGAGGCGTGGTTAGAACCGAGGTGGGTCATCAGGGATCTGAAATCATACAGCAAGTGGTACATAATAAATGCGCAATAAATGGAGGAGGCAGATCAGTGCAAGACAGAGGTATGGAAACCAAGTGTGTTTTTACATGTAACACATTTGCCAAAGGAAGGCTTTGCAAAGGAGACATTCTTTCCCTTCACTAGAAGGCCTCTTACCTACTTTCTGCTAAAACAGACATCATGGAGCAGATACAGCTTAGGGTTAAAGCAGTGGTTCTCAGCCTGGCTGCCATAAAATCCCTCGGGAAGCTTTTAAAAATCTCAGTCCGTGTGCTTCATCCTGAGTATTATATCAATGTCTCTGGGTTTGAAAACCAGGCATCAGTGTATTTTAAAGCTCTCCAGGTGGTCTAAGGGGCATGCGCATTTGATAGCCTGTGCCTTAAAAGAGGAGCAGGTGACTCATACCAGTAAGAAGGCAAACAGATCACCAGGCCAGTCTTATAGGCAGAAATAACCCTGACACTCGGACACTGTTTACCACTAAGTTTATTAACATATTTTTACCATATATTACATAATGATTGCTTATTCTTGGTCAGTCTATATTTTTCTCTCTATAGCAGTAAGTTGGACAAAAATTACACAATTAAACAGAAATCATTAACAATTATTCAGTTAACATTGTAGTCTCTGGTTAAGAGAACTTTGAGTTTCAATTCATTTATGTGTATTCCATTTCAATTTGTGCTTAATTCTAAATGCTTACGTGGTAGAAAGTAATTTTTAGTTGTTAATTGAATTAAATTCAGTGGTCTCTCAAACACATATATTTATTAAAAAGTATTTTAGTTGAGGAAAAAAAATGAGGACTGAAGCTCCCAACTTTACCAAAACACCAATAATAGATGGCTTGACGCCCATAGCTTAGTGCTTAAGTAGGGTGACCAGATTTTAACATCCGTAAGGCGGGACAACATGGGGGGGGGGGGCTGGGCAGGGATGGGGTAGGGCAGGGGCAGGGACAGGTAGGGCAGGGCCTGACAACAATGCAAACTTTGATAAGCAGTTCTGGATAATCACTTCTCAGCAATTATTTGTTATTATTATAGTTTAACATTATAAAATTAACAGAAATAATATAAAACTCATATTCTGGCGAAATAGCCACATGGCAGCCGAAAACCGTATATTCCCTTCCTGTTCTCCCACCTGTTAGTGGATTCTTTCCAAAAATCGGGACTTTTTTAAAACACTGTGGGACACAGGACAAATTGTTCAAAAGCGGGACGTCTGGTCACCCTATGCTTAAGCCACATGCACTAGGGCTGGTGGGTTTGAACCTGGCCCAGGCCTGCTAAACAAAAACAACAAAAATAGCCAGGCATTGTGTCAGGCACCTGTACTCCCAGCTACTAGGGAGGCTGAGGTGAGAGAATTTCTTGAGCCCAAGAGCTTGGGGTACTGTGAGCTATTATGCCATGGCACTCTACCAAGGGTGACATAGTGAGACCACAGTGAGAAAAAAAAATAATAATAGATTTTTATATTTAGTTTTTGAAACATAATCACTTTATTTAAAATACATCTATATTTCAAATATCACCAGTGTGAGTATATTTCCTGTGAAGTCAATCCTTAGTATGTAAGTCCCTGAGCAGGAAGGTGAAACAGGAAATGCAACAAAGATGACAATGTCGTGATATCATCTAAAAAAGATAAAGCTCTGTTTTCGCAGTATGGTACTGCAATTATTCCTGCTAGAGGAAGGGAGAAGGAGCTGAGGCGCTGCAAACGTGCCTACAACTCTTAACTACCCAGGTACACCTTCTCTGTCCATCCATTTGCATTCTAGAAAACAGTTACTGTTCAGGCAATGGGGCAATAAGTCTGCCCTGCCAGTCAATACTTGCTGAAGGTAGTGGGTAGGCTAGGACTGTGAGGTCTAGAGGCATTGGGTGGCTAGGGAAACCCAACTTCACTTTCTTTTTTTCTTTTTTTTTGAGACAGAGTCTCAAGCTGTTGCCCTCGATACAGTGCCGTGGTGTCACAACTCACAGCAACCTCCAACTCTTGGTCTTAAGCAATTCTCTTGCCTCAGCCTCCCAAGACTACAGGTGCCTACCACAATGCCCTGCTATTTTTGGTTATGATTGTCATTGTTATTTAACTGACCTGGGCTGGGTTCAAACCCGCCAGCCTATATAGCCTGTGCTGTAACCACTGTGCTAAGGCGTCGAGCCCAACTTCACTTTCTGAAATCAGTTTACACGTCTGTAAAGGAGAGGGCACTAACACACAGTTTAAGTAACACTAATGATCATTAGCTAAAAACATGGCCAGTGTTTTATCAGGCTTTAAAAGAAGAATGGTTAAAATTGTTAGCATAGAAGAAGGTTAGAAATATATAATCATAAACTCTTACACAATTTCATCTTTATCACTCGAATAACTAACAGTTTAGGGAAGAAACAAATAATTCTCTACTCTCCATGCCCAACACGAACGTGCCTGGAGAAGGCCCCTGAGACAGGAGAACAGAGGAATGTTGAGACTCACCTTTTCCAGGAAGACTTCTCTGCTGCGGGGCCACTGATCTCTTCCTTTTTCTGGACGCCAACAAAGTTAAGGTCCTTTAATGTGTTTGCCTTTTATGGTTCTCTAATTGTACTGGATGCGCTGGTTTTGGCTCCCCCACTAGATCTGCAACTCCTCCCGTAAGAGCTAATTCTCATACTTCCTTTTCTCAACCTAAGATCCTGGATCAGCTTTTATTTTTTTAAACGTTCCCTCTTTGGGGCCTTATGGGTTCCTTTCAGGATCTGATGAAAGCAATGTATGGTTTGTGCACGGTTCTGTGTGAGTACAGCTTCCCTTAAAACCCATCATCCATGGGAAGACGGCCATGCTGCGGCTGCTCTTTGATGATGCAGTTAAAGCACAGAAATGCTAAGTGACCCCTCTAGGTTGTAGACTGGAAACCAGGTTAGTTAAAACGTTATTATTTTGTAAACTTGTCTCTTTTATCAACATGCATTTGAATCGTGGCGGCAAAGAACAACTCAAACTCACAAAGTATATGTGTAGAAATGTCACAAAATTCTAGTCTTCCTGTTTGACTAGATGTGGAGTCACCAAATGGGAAGTTGCAGGAAGAAAGCAGAATAAGAACCGGCCTGTTTAAGAAGGTTGTGCAGGAGGAAATGGGCACTTCCTCAACTTGGGTTATTTCTCTTTCACTTTTTGTTTTAAAAACAAAATAAACTTTTTCACTCCTGTATTTTCTACTTTTGATGAAAGGAGGCTTTAAATCTTTCAGAACATCAGTGCTCTGGAAGAAATAATTTATTAATCAACTTCAGTGAAATATTAATTCACCTTTGGATAGAAGGACAGTTCTCACTACATTTCAATAGAATGAGTGAATTGCATTTAGACTCAAGAAGCAGAGGGAACAATTGCTTTTACAATCTGAACCTAGTCCCAGGTAAATGTTTACTGAACTCCAACATAACTGATGAATTAGGACAGTGGAAAAGTAATCTAGACTTTACTTAAGTCTTTTATCAAACTAATTAAATCAGAGAGCAAAGAGACAAAGAACAAAGCTTATAGAAGTCGTCTAGTTTACATATTACTTTTGTTACTTTGGCCATTATCTGCCCTCTCCTTGGGACTCTGGGAACTCAGGAGACTCTGCTGCTCTGTTGGGTTCTGCTGTTTTCTTCTCATGGCTTCTTACCTCTTGCCTCCTTGTGTAGTTGTCTCAGAAGCAGAATCCAAGTCATGATCCTTGAGCCTCACTGGGTGTCCAGGACAGATTTAACTGAAGCCCACCCTCATGGAGCTGTCTACTACTCTTGCCATTTTGTTAATGATAATTTGTCCTTTGATGAATAAAAGAAAAAGTTCCACATGAAAAGTGTATCTTTCTATCCTTCCTTCCTTCCTTCCTTCCTGTCTCTCTCTGTATCTTTCTTTTACTCTCTTTTATTCCCTCCCTCCTTCCCTTTCTTCTTTCTCTCCTTCCTTTTTTTGTTCCCAGTTTCTTTCTCAACAGAAAGGTTAGACCATAAAGTTTGGGAGAGAAACAGATGTACTTTGGGATTTAACAGACCCAGAGAAGATAACAAAGGGAAAAATGATCAGTCTACCATTTATTTTCCTTTCCCACTGTCTGTTAATTGCAGGTGTAAATGTATTCATTTTCCTAATGTGTTCATTGTTTTTAGTACAGGATAAATACTGGTAAAGCCTCATACTTTTTGTACTTTTAGAATATAATTTCAAATATTTTAAAAATAATTGATTTAAAAACATCTCTAGATTTTATTCTATTCCTTGAGTCTCTTTCTTTCTCCCTTGCTCCTGTCCTCTCTTTTTTCCACCTTGGAATGATTCTATTCTTTTCATTTGAAAAGTTACTCAAACCTAGTCTTTTTTTTTTTTTTTTACTCTATTTGCTCAATTTAGAATTCATTACACAGGAAGTGTATGTACATACAAAGTTATTTGACCTAATACAAAATTATTCATACCTAGATATAACCTAGTGACAATCTTCCTTGTAGTCAAAAGAACAGAAATGTTTCTATTTTAAATTCTATCCTACAGTTTGGACATTAATATTACTACTTAATAATGCTACTAGGAGAATTTAGGAGTACCTATAATATGATTATGAAAACAAATTTAATGAATGTAATTAGTCAAGTGATTCAATGCCATCCTGACCTTTTCTCTTGCCCCTTCTAGAATGATTGATTTTAGGAAACCAGCACATGGCTTAAAAAAAAAAAAATCACTAATCTATAAACTAGGCTGGATAAACTGGATATCCATGTGCAAAAGAATGACGTTAGAGTCTTACTTTATTTTTTAATTAAATCTTTAAAGAAATTGTTATATAATAGACAAACATATTTTGGGGATACATGTGGTCATTTGATACATTCATATCATCAAACTAGGGTAACAGGAATATCTATTACCTTAAATATTTATCTTTTCTTTATGCTAATAACACTTTAATTATTCTCTTTCAGCCATTATATTTTGAAATGTACAATTGACTAGTGTTAATTGTAGTCACCCTACTGACCTAGACTTGAATATCAGGTCTTACTTCTTCTATCTGAGTGTGTATTTCTACCCAGTTATCAATCTCTCTTTATCCTTCTCTCTCCCCTGCCTTTCTCAGCCTCTGGTACCTATGAATCGACTCTCTATTTTCATGAGATCCACTTTTTTAGCTCCTATGTATGAGTGAGAATATGCAGTATTTGTCTTTCTGTGCCTGGCTTATTTCACTAACATAATGACCTGCAGTTCCATTCACATTGCTGCAAATGATATGATTTCATCATTTCCTTATGGCTGAAAAATATTCCATGTGTATATATACCACACTTACTTTGTCCATTCATCCGCTGGTGGACATTAGCTTGATTCCAAATTTTGGCTGTGATAAATCATGCTGTAAGAAACATGGAAGTGCAGATACCTCTCATATACCTCTTTCCTTTCCTTTGGATAAATAACAAACAGTGGAATTTCTGGATCATGTGGTAGCGCTATTTTTAGTTTTTTTGAGGAAGCTCCATACTTTTTCTTATTGTGACTATAGTAATTTACATTCCCACAAGGGTTCCCCTGTTTCCACATCATCACCAACATCTGTTATTCTCTGTGTTTTCAATAAAAGCCATTCTACCTGGGGTGAGATGACATCTTATTATGGTTTTTTTGCATTTTTCTGGTGGTTAGTGATGTTGATCATTTTTTCATATATTTTTTGGCCATTTGTATGTTTCCTTTTGAGAAATACCTATTCATATTCTCGGCACATTAAAAAATAGATTAGTTCATTTTTTTGTTATTGAGTTATTAGAGTTCCTTGTTAATTCTGGTTATTAATCCCTTGTCAGATGGAAAATTTGCAAATATTTTCTCCCATCCTGTAGGTTGTCTTTTCACTTTGTTAATTGTTTCCTTTCCTTTTTAGCTTGATGTGATCCCATATATCTATTTTTTGCTTTTGTGGTTTTATACAAAAAAACCTTGCCCAGACCAATGTCTTAGAGCATTTTCTTATTTTCTTCTAGTATTTTCATAGATTCAAGTCTTTAATCTGTCTTGATGTGACTTTTGTATATGGTGAGAGATAGGGACTTAGTTGCCCACCTTGATTTCACTTTTTCCAGTGTAGAAATCAAGGGTTAGGAGAAAAATTTTATACACTTGGAATAGGGCACATTGGAGGCAGGAGTGTTGTGGATATGGAAATCCAATTCTCTTATTGTTTGCTGGGAGTTTTCTTCCCTTCTCTGTGGCTCCAGGAACTGGCCCATCTTTATATTTGAGTCCTGGGTTGTTGTTAGTGATAATCTCAGGGCTTTATTTTTATTTATTTTTTTTGCAGTTTTTGGCTGGGGCTGGGTTTGAACCCGCCACCTCCAGTATATGGGGCCAGTGCCTTACTCCTTTGAGCCACAGGTGCTGCCCAGGGCTTTATGTTTTTTTTGTTTGTTTTCTATGAGGGGAAGTGGAGCTGGGGTACTACCAGTTTGGAACTGGAAATTCCCCGAATAGTTACTTTATACTATATAAAAAAGTCAACTCAAAATGAATTAAAGACCTAAACATATGAGTTAATAAAGCTATGAAACTCTTAGTATACAACTTTGGGAAAAAACTTCATGATATTGATATTTGGATCCAGTGGTTTCTTAAATACAATATAAATAACATAGACAACAACAAAGAACAAGGTAAATGTGACTTCATCAATATTAAAGTCATTTTGTACACCAAAGGGCACTATCAGAAGAGTGAAAAGGCAAGCCCCAGAATGGGAGAAAATACTTGGAAATCATATGCCTGATAGGAGACTAGTATTCAGAATATGTAAAGAACCCCTACAGATCAACCACAGCAAAACAAAACACTAATTAAAAAAAAAAAAATGGGCAAAGGACTTGACTAGGCATTTCTCCAGATAAGATATACAAATGTTCAATAAGCACATGAAAAGATGCTCAAATCACTAGTAATTAGGAAAATGCAAATTGACACCCCACTGAAATGTCACTTCACTCCCATTAGGATGGATCTTATTTAGAAAAACAAAAGATATTGGATGGGATGTGGAGAAGTTAGAACTCTTGTGTATTGCTGGTGGAAATGTAAAATGGTAGAACCACTGTAGAAAACAGTATGGCATTTTTCAAAAAATTAAGCTTGGAATTAACATATGAACTAGTAATTCCATTTTCATATATATACCAAGTAGAATTGAAAACAAATACTTAAGGAGATACTTGCACACACACATTCCTAGCAGCATTATTCACAATAGCCAAGAAGGGAAAGCAACCCAAATGTCCATCAGTGGATAGATGGACACAAAAACATGGTATTTATAAACAATGGAATATTATTCTGCCTTAAAAACAATTAAATTCTGATGAAACAATGACATTTTGCTAAGTGAAATAAGTCAGGTACAACAGGACAAATGTTCTATGATTCTACTTACATGAGGTACCTAAAATAGTCAAATTCATAGGGACATAAAGTAGAATATTGTTTACCAGGCCTGGTGGAGTAGAGATTGGGGAGTTATGTTTAATAGGCAGTTTCAGTTTGAGTGACAAAAAATTCCTGGAAATAGTTGTACAACAAAATATTT